TGTCTTTCACTCACAGAAATACCCAACTATTGTTCTTTTGAATTCTGTGGCAGAAAGTTTGATCAGATTTGCCACCTTCAGGAAATCCATGAATTTCGTGTTGTGCTCACTTCTTAGGGGTGATATCTTCCTTAGGATTTGGGTAGGGTGTGAGGTAGTCTACTTCTTCTGTATCATTGCTTTGACAGTTTTTCTTGCCTGTGGTTCTAGAAGATACTGGGGCTGATGACCCCGGCTGAAGAGTTCACTTCTCCAGTTGGGAGAGCTATTCACACTTCCTGAAGTCCACCTCTGGTCCAGGACTCACTACAGTCTCACGGGGAGCGAAAATCACCCTGCCTGTGGTCATAGGGCTGGAGGAAACTTGCCTTGGCTGGGGAGCTCACCAGGACAGGTACTCCCTCTACATCGAGTCTTTCCTCTCTGGTGTCATGGCTTGTGAGAAAGTTCACTTAGGCTGAGAAACTCACCTTGATTCTGATCTTTTCCCTTTCTGAATATTTTAAAATATATTAGTTATGTTAGTTCACTCAACATAATGCTGTCCAGTCCCTCCCAAGTTAGGTAACAATTTACCAAATTATTCCTCCTGCGTGCTGCATAGTATTCCACTGTGTGAATGTGCCATAATTTCTCAATCCATTTATTTGTGGTTGGACATTTTGGCTGTTTCCATGTTCTTGCGATGGTGAATAATACTGCAATGGACATTGGTACAAATCTCAGTTTGTGCCTCAGTTCTCATATTCTCAGGGTATATTCCAAGTAGAGTAGTGGAATAGCTGGGTCATTTGGAATTTCTATGTTCAGCTTTTCTGTCAATTTATTCTTAATTTCAATGAAAATTTACAGACTTTGCATTTCCATTCATTCATTGTTGCACTTTAGTCCTCTCCCAACCCTCCCCCCTAGTACACTACCCTCTTGGAAAAGTAAAAGAAAAATTCTTCCATTGTTTTACAATCCCTCCCCCCAGGGTGTCAGGCATCTCCCACCACCAATCCCCGGAGGGAGGGCCCTGAAGGCTGCTCCTCCACACACAGGAACAAGGACTGTGCAAGTCATCATCAGATTTTAATTAAGAGTAATAAAAATAACAGTACAAAATTTAAAAAATTTTATTTTATTTTTGTATGAGTGTACCGTCAAATCAGATATGACTGGTACAGGGGGAGATTGTCCCTCCTTTCCCGGCGGAGCATCTGGTGGATTTGAACCATGTGACTCTGGGATTGTAGTTGCAGCTCCTCGCCACTAGGCCACCAGAGCTCCCCTTATACTGATAATTTATTATTCTTTTTTTTTTTAAATTTTTATTGTATTATTT